TGAACAATCATCAGTAGCATGAAACTGAACAAGAACAAATGCCAGACTCTGCACCTGGGATAGAGCATACCTTCCACAAGTGCAAATTTCAAGAGTGGCTGGGGAGCAGCACCACAGAAATGGGTCTGGGGATGCTGGCTGACAGACAGCAGGCTCAAAGTCAGCAGTGGCAAACCATCAAATGCACCACAACCAGCTGGTCAAAAGGAGTGATCATCCCACTCTATTTAGCACTGCTGCAACTTCATTTTGAGTACTTTGTGCGTTTTTGGGCCCCAAAATTTAAAAGGGATGTGAAGGTCCTTAAATGTGTGCAAAAGGAGGACACTGAAGCTGGTTGAAGAGCTAGAAGTAATGCCCTGTGAGAAGCAGCTGAAGATACAGGGTTAATCTGGTTTGGAGAGAAGGAGGCTGAGGGGTGGCCACACTGTTCTTGGCAGCTTTCTGAGGTGGTGAAGTGGAGAGGGAAGTTGCTGATCTCCTCTCAGTAGTGCCCAGTACCAGGGCATGTGGGAATGGCTGAAAGCTGCCTCTATCATGGCAGGTTCAGACTGACAGGAGGAAATGTTTCTTTACCAAGTGTGATTGAACCATTGAAGAGTTTTCTTTGAGAAGGGGTTGATGCCCCAAGCCTGTTCAAGAGGCATTTGGGCATTGTCCCTAATGCCATACTTAATCTTTTGGTCAGCCCTGAAGTGGTCTGGCAGTTGGATAAGGTTTTCTGTCCCTTTCAACTAAATACTCTATTTTGTTCTGCCCTCATGATGAGTCAAATAACAACCAGACTGTTATTGGCCTGAAATGCCAGGGATTTTTTTAGCTTTGAAAACACTTTTTAAAAACATGTAACATAAGAGATATACTGGAAACAGGATTTTATTTTTCTGACTCTTTCAGAACAGATGTTCACAAGCATTATCACAATGTGCAGCTGTAGCCAGGAGCAGGTTCATGCAATCTTCAGTTTAGCTTGAAAACCATCACTTGAAGTCTGGCAAAGGAAAGCTACAGAACATTGCAAATCCCCTATATCTTGTGGAGAGCCATTTGCTGATGGGCCTGTGTAGGGAGAACAGATTTCTGTCTTGCTCTCTTGTCTCTCATGGCAAGGAGTTAATGGCACAGTTTGTATCCAACACAGTTGTATGATCTCCACCTCTCCAGGCAAGTTTGCCCATAGAGTTTCGTGGAATATTCTGAATTATGGGCTGTTTATCTTCCTGGTGAGTGTCTTTCACCTAGGCTCTGCAGAAAATGAATGTGCTGGTCTCTAAACATCACTTCTTCATAGGATGTGTTTGTTTTGACCACACACCCTTCCTGAACCCTACCATATAGAATTACATTGTTCCAAACAATGGAACTGCCTGGAGCCAAAAGAAGTGGTGCCAGGTAAACCCAGTTTCCTTCAAATCAGAGACCCAGACACCCAGATGTCAAGCTGTCTTGAAAATATGTTACTGATATTGTAAAAACACCCTAAAAATTATCTAAAATATTAACCTTTACCAGACACGGGAAAGTAGATAACTGACTGACACACAAAGAAGGCTCTTTCTAGGAAAAATCAACTCAGAAGTTTTAAGAATGTGATTTTCACTCTTTATTTAATAATTAATTTTTTTTCTGGCTGAATTTGCATTTTGGCTTTTAAAAACCCAAACCCCAGACATCCTCACACCCAGTTTATAATTTTTTCTCTGTTTTAAAATTATTTTGGTTTTTAGAAAACACAATAACCACGACAATAGAACAACAACAATGTCATGTATCATTTTGGATGCAAAAACTCAAGTAATGTGGCAGCATGAATTCAGGCCAAGCACTGCCTGCTTCCTGAATAACAAGAATAAGGATCAGTAATAGTCACATGCAAAAGAATTGTGTGGTTTTCTCAAACGTGTGACACATCTCAATGACAAACACACCTTTTTTGCCTTCCTAAACTTGTTCCGCCACTGAGTTTCTTGGCCAGAGATGCATGAAAAGTACTCCTGTGCCTTCCTGGTGCTTGTGTTGCCCACATGGAGGGCTGAAAAGTGGCAGCTCCCCATGGGGCTGCAAGCCTGGAACCCTTCCAAGCACAGGCTGTTTTGCACAAGCAAGAGCCCCTGGAGAAATGGAGCCAAGGGAAGAGCAGGGCTCACTCCCACTGCAAACTTGTGATGGGTGAGAGAGATAGGGCATGATTGGTGCTTTGGAAGTGCAAGGGAGGAGAGTTGTTGTTGCTGTTAGTGCTGAGATGGGAGGGAAAGTGTCAGGCCAAGTCACCATTCAACACTAAAAGGGAAGTGCTTCTTTTTAATAGCGCTCGTGTGCCTGTAAAACAGCTGCCAAGAAGAATTTAAGATTTTTTTTTTTGTGCACACACCTGAAACCATCTTAGAATGTTGGTGTGATGAAATGACTGATTATGTCATTCAGGTACAAAGGAACTTTTTATTTTAATTAATGAGAGAAACTATGGGAAACAATCTTTAGCACATACTTGGTGATTAATCAGTTTGCAGAGCTGTTGCAATGAGTGCAAAAAGCTGCCAAGCTATGTCTGTTCAGTTAAGGAATCACAACATTTTGATGCCAGCTTAGTGTGACAAGAGAGGCCCTGCCAGGTGTCCAGACATGGATCTGATGGATCAGCAGGCAGAGCAAGACCAGGGACAAATTCTCTTGTTGTGAGTATCCTCTATCTATAGGGCTTGAGGGAAAAAAGACTGTCAGTAGTAAGGTGTGACTGTGGTCACAAGGGTTTGCAGGTGAAGAGAGAGACGAGAATGTTGATTCCATTATCAGAAGGCTTGATTTATTATTTTATGATATGTATATTACATTATAACTATACTAAAACAAATAGAAGGAAAGTTCTCAGAAGGCTAGCTAAGCTAAGAATAGAAAAGAAAAGAATGATAACAAAGGCAGCTGGCTCAGACCGAGAGCGAGAGCAGCTCTGCCGTGAGTGGTCAGTAAATCCAAACATCTACAGGAGACCAATCACGGATCCACCTGTTGCATTCCACAGCAGCAGATAACCATTACTTACACTTTGTTGCTGAAACTTCTCAGCTTCAGCAGGAAAAATCCTAACAAAAGGATTTTAATGAAAAGATGTCTACAACAGTAAGGATTTAAGAGTACATGGGATTTATAAGCTGAATCTGATGTTTTGAGTCATGCTTCAAAACAAACTGGTAGCAAACACATTTTAAAACCACGCTTTTCTCTTTGCAAACGGCCCCACAAAGCAAATGGATGCTGAACTAGCACATTCTGAAGCAATTCACTCTGGCTGTACTATTTGCATTGCCATCCTGTGCTGTCTATTATCTAGCAATAATCCAGCCTGGAAGTAACAACTTCCTATATATTTGGCACTGAGTTCCACATCAAAATAAAATAAATATTTTAGCCAATATAGATGGGATTTTTTGGAGGTTCAGGTGTTACTTATCTTTTTATTTTGAAATATAACCATTGATGGCCTGATGTGAGGTTTGTGTCTTGTCTCATCCCCAACATTTTCCTATGGGCTGCTGTTACATAGCAGGGCACTTTAGTGTGAGGGTTTCCAGTACAAAGCAAGTGCTGTTTACAGCATTGGAGTGCTGCGATCCTGCTCACACCCTCGGGTTCAGGTGCCCAAAGTTCAGTGCAGTGCTCAAGGCACCTGACCAAGCACACACCACTTATGTCTCCCTCCCCTACAGCCCTTTGCCAGCCATGCTTCAGGCAGCTGCTGTGGAAACAAAGGAGGAAGATAAAAAGGCGCATTGTGCTTGTCCACCCTTGCCTGGTGCTTTGAATTCCCTAAAGGCTGTTCTGTGTGACTTGACCTAGACATTGACCCTCCCTGGCTAGCTTTGTCTTCCTCAGCTGTGATGTGTGTGCTCTGGCAGCTCCCCACAGCACCTTCACTGTTCCCCTGTGTCCTTGTATCCTCCCTTGTGTTTGCCTAGTGGTGTGTTACAGGCGCCCTGTTGAGCTCTGGCTGACTGTGTTCTTGCAGCTTTGGAATTGAAATGCTGTTGAAAGACAGGAGTGGGAAGAATTTCTCTATCTCTTGCCATTAACTTAGAGATAATCCACCCAGGAGGAGGCAAAGTTTTGTTCTTGAATTTCAAAAAGCTATTCCCCCAGTGTTAGAAAAACTTGTCTGATGTGGTTTGTGCTTGCAGGATGTGTAGCTTAATTACCTGAGCATTTTACATAAAATTAAATTTTCTGTGTGTTTCCATGAAACTTTTGTGACCTTCTGAGTCCGTTTCTAGAAGCCTTAATTGGACAAATGTTCTCATGGAGGATTTAAGTGAATCATGCATCAAACTGCCTGAGTTTTATAGGAAATTCAGCCTGAAAATTCTTTCAAAAGCCTTGTAGTCAGAAGAGACTTAGGGTAATTGCATTACCTTTAACCACTAGTTACACATACTTTTTTCATGAAGAAACTGTCTGGCAATGTAAGTTGCTATAGCAGCTGAATTTACAGAACAAATAGCAGTGTATATGCTTTATAGAATGATTATTACACTATTCAGGGATTTTAATGGACTTTTCATCTTTTGTTTGTGTCAGCTCTGGATGTGCTATTAACTAACACTGCTATTTTAAGGAATTGTATGTGGAAATTCCTTTAAGTTGTCTTCCTATTTATTGAGAGCATTTAAGTCAGTATTGAAAACCTTAAAGGATGCACAGCATTGTGCTTTTTATTCATTCTACTCAATGATCTCACTCTGGCAGCATGGAGAAATGACCCTTTAAATCTAGACAGTGCTCCCTTACTTCATGTGGCCTAATTGAACATTAATTCTCTTGCTTCACAAATCCTCTGAGGGATGAAGAGGAGCTTGATACTGTGTTAGAAACAATTTCAAGGGCCTACTTGCCTAATTCTCTTAGTCATCTGTTTAGCAAAAAGAGAACTGACATTGTAAGATGAAAATAGCTCTTGGAATTATGGGGGTTTATTGACTAATATGGTTTGGTTTTGTTTGTTTGTTTAGAAATCCTTCCTGTATGGATCAGCCTTCTAGTGATGGTGAAACTGGCAGAAGAGCACTCTAAGCAAACCCAGGATGATTCGGGTCCCAGCTGATGCAGAAAATGCTCACAGTAGCAGTGTGGAATCTTGTCCTTCCTTGCGGGATGTCCACTCCATCAACCCCACACAGCTGATGGCAAGGATTGAATCGTATGAAGGCAGGGAGAAGAAAGGCATCTCAGATGTCAGAAGGACTTTCTGTTTGTTTGTTACATTTGATCTCTTGTTCATAACCTTACTGTGGATAATAGAATTGAATGTGAGTTGTCTTTTCAGTACCTACCCTTAGATGGTATATTAAGGTTTTATTCACTTCAGAGATGGTTGATAAGTTGCTCCTTTCTAGCCAAAATATGAATTTTAACCAGATTCAAGACTGCTTTCTGAGCAACTTTAAGTCAGTGATATTTCACTGTTAGTCCCTGAAAGGACTTCTAATGGCCAAAACTTTTCTTTTGTTGTATTTTCTTTGATGTAAACTTGGTGTGTTACACAGTATGGATGGCAGGGTGCATTTAAACAACATAAACTTCCACAGTTGCCACCTTTTAACTCCAACATTTGTAATCTGGTCTAAAATTTCCAGAAAGCAACATGAAAGCTCATTTATTGTTACTTCATAAGTAGCATCCTAGTTCTTGAGCTGGGTTTTAACATGTAATCTATTTTGCATTTAAGAAAGGACACACTAGGGAGGAATCCCTTTTCTAGAAATAAAGATCTTGAGTAAATATTTTTTGTCAGCATTTCTTTAGTAGATAAATAACCTTGGTTATTGATTTACATTATGAAGCTTCAGGAGCTGACTGTTCAATAGCTCATTGATACAGTGAAAAATATTCGTTCTGATTTAATTTGAGAAAGAAAATTTTGCTTGCCCGAATGATGTAATTTTGGGACTAGACTTTCTGTTTCTCTCTAGGTGGAAAAGTGGTTGTAGCATAGTGTTCTGATGCAGTTCTTTTTTTAGGCCAGTTTCTCAACAGCTTATACGACTAAGAGGAACAGAGTGGGTTTATATCTCTTGTTGAGGTTTTAGAGTACAGATTTGCACATAAGTGCTCTCAGAATATTGAAGATTCTGAATAGAAAATGCTACCAACTCATAATATGGTGTTTCATTTTGAATGCTACAGTATCAATGGGCCTCAAGATCACAGCAGTTTTCTTTGTAAAAAGCTGTATTTTCAGGACAACATATTAGGAACAAGTGTCCTATACTGCCACATGTCAGCAAGAATAAAAAACAGGTTTTTGTCATTCAAAGTCAATGAGATTAGAAGCTAAAATTCGATATCTGGGATCTGGCACATGCTTAGGTTTTTTGCTCTGTTTTTCTTTGAATTGCTTTGTTTGTGAGAAGTCAAATAGCATTGTGTTAGGACCCTGTGTTATTGGTGCAGAATTGCTATGAGACTTCCTGTAATCATTGTTTTCACTTTGTTGCCATTATCCAGTTTCCTTGGGTGTAGTGTAGCTTATTGTTAAATGCTTCGGGGAGTAGCTCCATTGCATTTTGAGCAAAAATCAAGGCTTCCATGGTCCTCTGTTTATCCTTGTTTTAATATGGTCCTCACACAGCCACATAGTGATGAACAGCTTGGAGTGAGGGAAGTTGATCTTCCTTGTTTCTGCTGGAAACAGATAATCACACGTGATACAGTAGAGTAACCAAGGGAAAACTAGTTCGAAAGTGGCTATTTGTTAGGTAGCCATAGAGGGGAGGAAGAGGAGAAGAAATAGAAGAAATTCAGAGGTGGAGTGACTAATCTCAGGAAAACACTGTCCTGCAGTGTAGTTGGAAAAGTGTGGAAGTGTGGAGACTGCGTTGCTTTGAGATAGTGAGCATATGTTGTTGGTGTGCTTTGGTAGCTCCTTTCCTTAAAGATATCACAGTAGTTGAACTCAATTTTAAAGCCTTCTGTTGGTATTTTACATAAATATTTCATGCAGTGTTTAATTATGGAATTTCATATTAAAAACAGTTGGAGAGGGACACTGAGGTTTTTAATTTTCAACTAAGATAGATACTCCTTCTCGTTCTCTGAGCCAATACACCTTAAATTATTTTCTTACAAGGCCAGTTTGAACAGTTGAGTCCTTCCACTGGAAAGAAACATGGTGGCTAAGGAAGATGTAATTTTGAATCTCATCAGCAAATGGAAGAATTAAACTTGAATCTTAGTTATTTGTGTGAGATTATTCTAATAGTTGCAGCTTCTGACTTTTTTTACTGTGGATCTTTTGGCTCAGCTCTCTTAACAAATTGTGTGAGGGCTGATAAGGAAGAGATCTGAAGTATGAATTCAGTCTCTGTTCTGTTTCCTATGTGAAACATGTGACTAAATAGAAACTGGGTTATGGTTGGCTTTTTGATCAGCTGTTTTGATGCTCCTTATTAGAGGTAAAGCACTTTGTGAGTTTGTGTAGCAGTCCTTAACACTTAATAATTTATTCCTCCCTCAATAGCTTGTTTGCTTTTATTTTGGGACAGCCTGAAATGTTGCTTGCCTAGGCCAGATCATAATCCTAAATGTTTTCACTTCAAAAAGTCTATGTAATCTTGAAAAACAAAAAGCAACAATAGTCTTGACCTTATCATTCTTGGCAGACAGCTCTTCTGTATTTAGTTTAATGATCTTTTTGTATATCAGCAGGGAATTATTAGTTTTACTCTTCATATTTCTGTGTATTTTGTTTTCTGAAGCTGTGTGTTGTTGTTCCTTTGTAGGTAAAAGGAGGCATTGAGACTACCTTAGAGAAAGAAGTCCTACATTATGACTACTCTTCTTCATATTTTGATATATTTGTAAGTGTTCTTAAAAAAAGAAAAAGGAGCAGCAAAAGTATAGTTTTCCCATTCCTCCTTCCACAGATGTTTCCTAGTTTGAGTCTTGTGCAAGGGCTGATCTTTTCTTGATAATTTAAACCAGAAGGGCCAAATTTCACCCATCTAGGGGTTGCCCAATCCTGCTCTGGCAGCAAGCTCATGGAGCCTGTGGATAGAAATGCTTAGGGCCAATCTATTTGCATCTTTAGCTTTGGGGTGTGTGGAAAAGCAGGTGGAAAACCTGGTCAAGAATGTGACTTTTATGTGACATAAAGTAGTTTATTAAGAGGACAAGACCCACAGCCCTGCACTCTAAAATCATTTTGCTTAAACTGACATTTTTGTCCTTCATTGGGCATAAGGTGGCTGCAAGGAGGAGAGATTTGTGCCCAGGGTGGCCTGCACAGGGCAGGTGTTTCAGAGTTCTGTGTTTTAACTCAAACAGCAAAAAGAGATGGCACAATGATGCTCTCTTACTATGTATAAGTACCTTAGGCACATAAGAGGAAATTTCTTTCTTTAAGCAAGTCTGTAGCTGCACAACCCAAGTAAAAGATTTTTTTTACAGTGCTTCTAAAGGGCAAGATTGTTAATTCTACCAGATCTTCTTTGCCTTGCAGAGGTGACTTGGTTTGGTATCAGTCATTTTTACTGATGACCATATCCAGAATCTCTCTTTGAAACTGGTGTAAAACCCCATCCTTACTTCTGCATTGGGCATTTGCTGTACCGAATGAATTTACATACTAGACTGAAAAATTTTATAAGCTAGCAAACTATGCTCCTTCTCCCTTTTCCATTGTTTTGCTGGCAGGGTCTCCATGATATACCATGCTGCAGAAGGCAAAAAATGTTATCTGTAACCATTGAAATTCCTTTATCCTGTAGGTGAACCAAGGGTTAAGAGCATGTAATGCAAAATAATAAACTTTTATTCCCTGGAAAGGGACTAGAACTGCAAATTGTTTGTGGGTTTTTACAGGATTTCCTCTGTTTCTACTACACATTTGCGTAAGATTAAATGGGTTTATCATACCTCTGGCCATGGCTGTCTTTGATTTCTCTTCATTTTTAAGTATTTGTTTCACACTTTGTCTCCAACTTGCTTTAAAAGATGTGTTCAGAATCGAAAATCTACTGTCAAAAAATAAATAAATAGGGAAATTGAAGCTCAGGGTCCCTGGTTCAGAGATCTTGTCTGTCTGCTATGGATTTAATTTTCTGGCCTACAAATGCCATAACTTTCCTTTCTCTACTGCCAAATAGAATGACTTGCTATTGTGGGCAGCTACATAAAGAATAAATGATTATTACAATGTTAATATTCCACAAAATACTAGAAGTATAGTAGCACGCTGCTAAAATCAGTGAGATGCACAGTGATGATCAAGGTATCTGCTGGATTAACTGCATCCAGCTGTTAATCTGGGTTAACATAACTGTTTAGATTCCAGTCAGGTAAAGTCATCATGAAGACACTTTGTATAGCTTTCTTATGTTTCTAATTTATTCGTGGAATGGCACATGCTTGCACATTAGAGCCTGTCTAGGCAGGTGGATGTTGCCATTGGCTTTACAAATGGGAAATCGCCTTCTATTTCTGTTTTATAAGTACACATTCAAATTTGTTTCTTGGTAACAGAATTTAGACTGTCTTAAGTTTCTTTGTAAGTAGTTAGTATTTTCGGTGAGCTGAGAATGTTGTGGTTCTTCTGTGTTCTGAATTAACCAACCAATATTTTTTCCTTTCTCTATAGCTACTGGCAGTCTTTCGGTTTAAGGTGTTAATACTTGCATATGCAATGTGCAGACTGCGCCATTGGTGGGCAATAGCTGTGAGTAGTGGCCAAGCATCATGGAGTTTTTCCTAGAATGGATCAAGCAGACAAAATTTTAGATGCCTCTTAACCCTTGTGTGTTAAGAATCATCTTGATGGTATATTTGTTGCACAGTAGCAAATTAAAAACTTGTTTTCTGGAAGATTCTCAGCCTAAAGGCAAGAATTTAATAGAACAGTGGGTGTGATTCTTGTTAGGTATCATGTTAATACAAATGGAAAGTTTATTTTTAGTCCAGTATGAATAACTGCTTGTTACCTCTGAGACTTGTTAATCAATGTGGGAAATATATTTGCATTTGTAATAGTGAACCTCCTTTGAAAACAAGAATTGGCATTATTGTGCCAGAGATCCACGTGTCCATTAAGTCCTACATTCTTTAAGAAGTTGCAGGTGCCACCCATTGAACACTAGCACCTGTATTGCTTCATGCTCCAATACAAAAGGTTGAATATGCATCCCTTCTTATAAAGGAAGTTCTCAAGAGCTGTAGGCAACCACAGTGGATTGGAGCCAGTATCTTTAATGCAGCTGTATGATGTGGATGACAAAGAATGCAAAATTTGGTGAAAAATTCATGCTTCCACCAGTCAGTACTATAGGTTGTAATACAATAGGTGTATTGCTGGCTTAGTGCTTTGTAAATCAGACTTTTTTTTTTCCCCTTACACTGTGGTAGGTGCCTGTAGAGCATGTTCATGTGTAACTTTCTTCAAGTGAGTAGCGTGCAGTTTGCTTAGTACTCTGAGACTACATGCCATGATTTTTATAGATTGTGTAACTAGCATGGCACAGTCACATACATCGTGGCAGCTGCTGCTCTGATTGTGCTTATATTTAAATGCATACCTCTTAAAAAGTCCTTGCTCTTAGTTGGGTAGCTTTAGGGTATTTCTTAATCCTCCAGCTTGATGCTTGTGTTTGTGAGGTGGTGAGAGTGAGCTCAGTCTCATAATTTTAGATACATAAAGCTTCACTGGAGGTTTTGCCAAAGCCTTGAATCTTAACATCCTACCTGTGATTAACAGAAGTTGGTTCTGCTGGTTTTTAAAGAATTGCTGGACCCAAATGCACTAGAACATATAGAGGCCTTGCTTATGTGAACAGTATTTGTTCACTGCGTTTTCAGATTTTGGGCATTTTGAAGATATTTTATCCAGCATGCTGATTTTTTAAAATGTATCAGGGAGTATTAAGTCTTCAAAAAAAATTCGAAATACCACTTAATGAATTAAAATATTTATTCCAATTTATTCCCACAAAGATGTTTTGTTGTTTTAAATGGATATTTTGATTTGGATGGTAGTGAAAAGAATTTGGAACAACTGCTGTTTTCTTTTTTCCCAAATACATAAATAGTTGGGTTTTTTTAAGGGACTTGATGAATAATCTACATTATCTTCATTATGCAGTGAGATCACAATTTACATACTCAGGCAGTTTAGTTTCTACAAAATGCTATGTGGAAATCAATGTTTGGAGGTGTTTGTATTAGAAGTTACCTTTTATAAGGTTATTTTGATAACACTTTAAGTTAATTGTATCATGCTTGTTATATTCTATTAATCTATGTCATCTTGCATATCAGTAAATATTTAGAGCTGCAAGTAATACATAATGGCAGAAATGAGAAGCTAAATCCATTCATTAGTTTATCTCTTCTGTCTCTTTCAGTTTACAACAGCAGTGACCAGTGCCTTTTTATTAGCAAAAGTAATTATTTCACAGGTATATATTCTAATCACACGTTTGTTTTACTTTGTTTTCTTAAAAGCAAGATTCTTTAGAGTAATTTTTGTAATGTTTTCTTTCTTTCTAGCTGTTCTCACAGGGTGCTTTTGGCTATGTGCTGCCCATCATATCATTCATACTTGCCTGGATTGAAACTTGGTTCCTGGACTTTAAAGTGTTACCACAAGAAGCTGAAGAAGAAAATAGTAAGCTTGTGTTATTTCCCTTCAGTCACTGCCTTTGGCAACACTTGATCCCATGTTAACTGGCAGAAGAATGCTTCTTTCAGCTTCTCAAAATTTGAAAGGCTGTGGAAAAAATTAAATCAAATGTCATGATTTTTTCCTCTTGGAAAGAGGAACATATGCCTTCAAAGAAGTGAGGTGTTAATTAATTTAGGGAGGCAAAGTTAAAAGTCAAAAGGGCCAGATGAGCAGTTTTGTCAAGCACTTGGGAATGTGTTTAATTTTGTATGCTTGAGGTATGAAAATTTAACTAAGTTGGGCTTGTAAAACTTTATTTTCTGGATAATGCATAAAGTGTCTGGCTCCTCTTTTAGGAAGAGCAGACACAGTAACTAATTCAATGTCACTAACTCTTCTTTTGAGGTGGAAAGGGGAAAGCAAAGAAGTGTTGTGGAGAGTCTGTTTCATGTACAGGTAGAATGAGACCAGGACAAATGTGAATTTCAACCTTTGAGATGAGGCACCAGGTCATCTGACACTCAATGTATTCAACTAAATGGAGGAAATCCACTGTTTCAGTTGAAAGAGAATACTGCTTGAGGGGTGAGGGGAGGAAAGCTTGCAGATGCTTGTGAGTTTCAATAGCAGAAGAGTAATTATACAGCCAACCTGTTATTTATGCATCATTACCTGAAATACAGTCTGAAACTCTGTTGGAAAGGCATGTTTATCTGTTAGGTAAATCAAAAAACTTTGAATGGGCATGGATGCCTCCATTTTTATGTGCTCTGAGTGTAGTCTTTCTGTTTGGATCTCTTCCCTCTTCTTTTTCACTGGTCTGAGAAGGAAGGTGGTTGAATGAGAACAGTGGGGTTTACCTGGAGAGAAAGAAACTTAGAGTAACTTTTTTTTGTCTTGTAAGGGGATGAGGAAATACAGCTGCATCATGGTGTTATCTAAATAAGATAAGAAATGTAACCAGTTTGGAGACTTTTGCATTTTTTCATATTGAATATTCACAGACAAAATATTCCATACATACACATGCAAATAGTTTATGAAGGTTGCAGAAATGTTGAGACAGATAGGTGAAAGCAAGCCATTAGTGAAGGGTCATTGTGGCAAAGAGAGAAAATAATTTATTTGGTTGTGCATGGCGCCTCACTGATCATTAAAAATATATTTCAGAAGTTTTAGTTAGCCAGTGAATATTGATGAATTTACATATGGCAATGTAATCATGTAATCCCACGTAGTAGAAGGAAAAATTCCTTAATTCATGTGTGCAATATCTCTGTTTTGCTAGTGTGTGTCACCTTAGCTGCCAGCATTTAAATAGAACACATAAGTGTTAAATTAATTGCTGATGCTTTTTAAAAATATATTTCTTTAAAGAAGTAACTAGTTAGAAGTGCTAATATAATACATCAGTCTTCAAGGTTCTTCATCAGTATTTGATCTTTTAAGATTTTAGGTGTTAGCATTGAGGAATTATTTTCTGCTATTTATTTTCTTTTAGGATTTTTGATAGCACAGGATGCTTCAGAACGAGCAGCTCTTCTTCATCCAGGAGTCCTCTCTGATGGGCAGTTCTATTCTCCCCCTGAGTCTGTAGCAGGTACTTGCATTGGCTTAGTGACAGATGTTTCATATTCACTTTACACTCCTGCATATTTCATGCCCTTCAAGAAGGGAAGGGGAAAAATATATTTTTGTTTTTAAATGAAAACTGTATTTATCATCCTAAAATGCAAGATTCTTTTTTGTTCAGTAATTCAGTTTAGTTACTGTCTACCAGATGGGTTACAAGACATGTGATTAGTGTATAAGTCATAGTTAAGTCATATTCTGACTAAAAGCAAGGTAAGTCTGAAATAAAATGGCACCACAACTGAAAGAAGGCAGTTATGGTTTGCTTCTGCCATCAGTGATCCTTGTGGGTCCCTTCCAGCCTGAGATGTTCTGTGACTCTGTGGTTTCTTATCTGCCAGCAATAGCATTTATGCAGCAATGCACAATTTAATCCAGCCCAAATTTGGAGCTTTATACTGTCTTAGGATAGACAATGAATCTGAAACTGCTATAAGGCAAACGGAAACTTCAATCAGAGCTTCTTTTCTTTTCTCATACCAAAAAGAAAAAAGCCTTCTCTCTATAAAAAGGTTCACCTGTCTGGGTAAATCAGATATAACTCTGCATATCATATGCTTTGTCTAATTGAGATATGAACTGATTAAATCAAAAATAAATGTAAATCCTGCAAGATCCAAGAATGTGTCTCAAGCATTTCAAGGAAATAAGTAATTTCCTACAATTTGAGTTACCTGAGAATGCAGTGGTGACCCCCAACTCCTGTATCAGTCTTTTTCTCCTAAAAAGTAAACCTCCTCTGCAAAGCTGTGCTGTATAAGGCAATATAATTAAAATAATGTCTTCTAGTTGCTACGGGTAAGTTTGCCTCTCTTGCAGTATAGATTTACACATGTTGGTGATATTTTTAATTTTAATGTCTGTCTGCTTTCTCTCTGCTGAGCATCTTGGCTTAGTGAATGACTCCGAGCTCCATCTAGGGGTCACTGAGCATTAGTGTCGAGTATAACCAGCGATTCAAATTGAAAATGGATTTCAGCTACAACTGTGGGTCTGCTTTGAGGAATAATGGAAGTATTGTACTGGACTCAGCTGTTCAGCTGGGTTTTGTGTTGTTTTTTTTTAGCAGCAGAATACACAGTGTGAGAGGAAGTGCAAGTGAAGCTAACGTGTTTTTCTAGACATTGTGGCTGGGTCAGTGTTGCTTGTGCAGTGAGATGTTGTGTTTGAGCATGCATGTATTGACTGTAGGTGTGCCATTACTTTCAGCTTGTCCAATGGGATTCAGTAACAGCTCAGGTGCTTTCTCCAGGTCTGCCCTGACTGCCAGGTATATTTTAAGCACCCTTTATGGGTATGAGACACAAAAGAAACAGTCAGATTAATATATTTGAACTAACACACACTGGTAGTCACAGAGTGAAACTGCTGGATAATGTAGAGTAAAAATAGCTCATTATTAAAATTTTCCTTCAAAAATATGCATTTCTTTCAAAGAAGACAAACTATGGATTGTTCTAAGAGAGCAATTTTTGGTCACCATGCCATACATACTGATTTGACAAATATGTAGAGATAAACTATCCCCTGTGATTGTGCAGCGGGGAATAAACCTCTCTGCTGATATCGCAACATTTTTTAAAACAAATCTTTGCTTTTAGGAGGTGACATAAACTTAGCTCAGTTGGAATTGTCAGCGTATTTGTCTCTTTTTGTCTCTCTTGAAGCTGCACCTGTCCAGGGACATGCCCTGGAGCCACTTCTTTATATGGGGTGACCCTTCATCCTCGACATTGGTTACTTGGTAACCAAGTCTATTCTGGAGGTTGCAAGTGGAAAATCAGCCTGGAAAGAGTAAATTTATTCTGTACGATTTGAGCTTCAAAACACAGCTGATATGCTATTCCAAGAAATGAAAGACATTCAGACTAATTTGTCAAAAAACCCCCCAAAAAATCTTAACACTTTCGTATCTTTTAGCTTCTCTCAACTGATCTACAGCATTCTTGTCTTCCTTTTCAGGTTCTGATGAAGACTCTGAAGAAAAACAAGACAGTGAAAAACCAATTGTATAGCAAATAAGAAAAAGCAGGTAAGTTCTTTTGCATAGAACCTGAATATTCCTAAAGATATACTTTTTCTTCTTAGTTCCTTTCCAAACAAATTAAATGGTGTGTTAACTCTTCAGAGTTCATAATTTTTGAACTCAGTCTGTCTCTCATAGCAGCTTTCAAGAAGGAAATCCTGTGAAGCTCTTGAGAGCCTAGAGTCAGGCTCCTTTGCATTTATTTTTTAGTTCTCCTGGAAAGGACAGTAGTGGACCAGATGTGTAAAAGCTCCTTTTTTGGCAGCAAAGAGATATACTGCTTTGGAGAGGAAAGCACAAGAATGCTAGGAAGAGATTTTCTTTGGTTTAAATCTAGGACAAATATGCATGAAGATTTCATGGGCAAACCTGATTTGCTATTTCCCCTTTTGTTTAATACTACAAATTGGTTACACTGGAGCAGCCTCATCTTAACATTTTTGTAGTGTACTTTGTTTAAATATGAGATTACTTCCTTATTTTGGAAGTGACTTGATTTACTTCTGGAATTATCGTGCCTCATGCTTTCACTTCACCACTCACAGCAAAGCTCAGGCTGAGGGAGGTATTAAATGTTCTTGAGAAGTTGGAACTTCTGATTTGAAGCCTTCTAGTGCTCACCTGGAAGAGTGGATGCCCTTTTCTTTTCAGCCTACCTGTTTACAGTATCTGTTTGTTTACTCCCATCTTCATTCATCCTGACTTGTGTGATCTGTTGCAGAAAGAAAATCTCTGCAGGAAGTTGTTGGGGTTTGGAAACTGGCAACAGAGTCTGTGGCTGACTTGCTGGCAGAGCTGCTGACAGGAGAGTTTACTCGTTAGAAAGTAAAGGGAAAGGTTCCCATGTACTGTAATACCTCATGAAGATGTACCTTGTTGACATATGTATATTAGGTTGCCTCCCAGGTGGTATGAAAGTATTTGTCCACAATGTATTTTATTATTCAGTGATTCCTGAAGTTGATCTTCTAATGACTAGGTAATTACTGGAAAGTGTTGTCTTGTGTACCTAATCAAGAGACTGGTAATATAATGAAGTAAAACTTCTCTGTGGTGGAAGTATATTTAATAATTATTGGGTCTCACTAGATAAAATTATTTTATGTTATTGCTGTTTTGTCATTAGTTAATGTTTACTTTTTTTTAACTCCATGCATTTTCTTTTTTTTTAATGGATATGTTCACTTTCTAAAATAAAAATGTTAAAACATGAGTAATGCATTATGATATTTCATTGCTTTGTTAATAGAAAAATCTACATTTACCACTCCTCTATATGTGGGGCAATAAGGACTCCAGCTTGCATAGATTTTGTGCAAAATGTTATAGTACTGTTTGGGACTCCCTGCATGGCCTGTAAGGAGGCCATATTAGTGGTGGTGGCATATCACTTCTTTGCTGCATTGGCTTCAGTATGCCCTTCCTGAAGTTCTCTTCTGTAATTGCTGAATGAAAATAGAAGCCAGGACCAAGTTTATCCCTTACATTGCTTCAGAATAGCCAAGGTCTGTTTCAGAGGCTGCAGGTAAGAATGAACTATTAGAAGAAAGAGAAGAGAAACTGTGTAATTTAACAATGTTGGAATGTTCCTAACCAAGGATCTGGAGTATCTCTTATGAGGAGAGACTGCAAGAGCTGGGCCTGTTGAGTCTAGAGAAGACTGAGAGGGGATCTCATTAATGCAGATAAATGTCTCTAAGGCAGGTGCCAAGAGGATGGTGCCAGGCTGTTTTTGGTGGTGCCCAGCGACAGGACAAGGAGCAATGACTGTAAGCTAAAACACCACAAGTGTCACCTCAACAGGAGGAAGAACTTTCTATTAAGGGTGGCAGAGCACTAAACAGCTACCCAGGGAGTTCATGGAGTCTCCCTCTCTGGAGACATTCCAACCCCACCTGGATGTGTGCCTGTGTCACCTGCTCCAGGGGACCCTGCCTTGGCAGGAGGGTTGGACCAGATGACCTCCAGATGTCCAATCCAACCCTCTGGATTCTCTGATTAAATTCAGTGAGAAAAACACATCTGGGATAGGAGGTCAAAGGTTCTATTAAACCTATGAACTTCATCTAGGTGTACAACCCTTTACTTAAACATCTTCATTCGGCAATATGAAATTCCTCTGCATATCTAAGAAATTCAACCTATTCTCAGAGAAGAGCCAGCTTCCTCCTGCAGTTCAGTACTTGGAAAAAAGGGAATTAATACAAAAACTGCAAAGCATAACAAATCATATGCACTGGTGACAGAAAATGCTTGGGGGGGGGGGTATTTTGTTACACCAGACATGAATAGTGATGTTTGGCAGATGTCAGGTAAAGATTTTGCAAGCCTCTCCTAAATAAGCACCTTTCTTCCTGAGTGTATGGCTTGGATGCTCTGCATAGTGAGTTAACTGAGATGCCATATTTTCATACATGGGTCATTTGCCAAGGAAGTTACTCCCTTTGGTGCATCCCCAAACAATTCTGGTTGCTGCCATGAGAAACTGCATCTCCTGTAAATCTAAAATGCATGTTATAGTATAGAAAGGAGTTAAAACAATCTGGAATAATTTTGCTCACTCCTCTCAAACCTACTATAAAACCTGCAAAGTTGACACAAAAACTATTATTCAATTCTGCCTCCCTGGGCAGGATTTCTGGTCTCTTTGGGTAGCCCTAACTACATCTCCAGAACTTTCCACCAGTCTTTCCTTAAAAAAGCTGTTTGATTTTGATTCTAATACAGGTGAGGTGATTGTTCATGTCAAGGCCCATGGTAACAGACTGAATTGCTTGGCATGACTGTGACAGCTTTGTGCTCTTTGTAAATGTGTTGGATTTTCTTTTTGTTGGGCCTGAAAATGAGATTTAAGAAGTTTTGTTTCAAGAAGCAGGTTTGAATCAAGGATTTAAAAGGAAAAATAACCCAAGCAAGCTGTTAACCAAAGTAATACCATTACCTGCTTGTCATGTATCTATGACAAGAATGTTTTGATTGATGGTTTATTGCAATCTTAACTTCAAAATATACTTTGCAAGAAAGATTTTCTGCATTTTTTATGCAAAGGAAGTAGATCTCCCAAGCCCTATTCGTTAAATTGGAGACAATGAATGTGCATGCTCATTTACTATCTGGCACGACATTACCATTTCTATTTTCTGACTCTTTGATTAAAAGGGAAGGGATTTCCCTTATTTCTGCAAGGGCCCTGAAATATTGCAAGGCTAACTTGTGCAGTAACAGATGATTTTAAGTGCTTTGCATGTACACTCCTATTGCAGGTACTGTCAGACAACCCTCATGCTTCAAACAAAGGAATGCACGTAACCTAGTTTGATTTCCAGAGGCAAGCAAAGTTAAAGTATTCACATTCCAACTAAATCAAGTTCCCTTTTCTTCCACAATCACTTAACCCAGTATATTTTCTTCAGCAGAAGTCTATTCTGTTAGCAGACTGGTTAATAGGGAAACTCAGAGTTTAAGTGGAGATTTTATTTTAGGGATTTTCACTGGGGTTAGACACAGCAAAAATTTTTTTTTTATACTTTGATCAACAGAAGGAAAATAGATGATTTACTGACATGTTAGCAGTTTAGTAGGGTATTAAATCCCCTCTTTCTTTCCCTTATCAAGATTCCAGCTTTAGCTTTTACTAAGTAAAACTGAATGGTGTCTATCTATAAAAACAGTCTTTAATAACTGCTTGCTCAACATCTTTCAAAAACTTTATACAGGTCAGGCAGGTTAGCAAGCTGCAAAATGTTGCCATCTTCTGCAAAGTGCTTAGGAGGTAAAAGATGAGTCCTAAAAGCTTTGTAAAGCACATGTTCCACAGTCCATTTCCATGTTGTTGAACCAGACTCTGATTCTTCACTCTGAAATACAGGAAAACAAGGACAAACAAAATGAGGTTCTGTTTAACTAGAGGAGGGCCTGCCTTAAAAACTGTACTATGTAAGACTGCAGCAATTGTAAAATTCTGCTGGTATTAGAAAAGTTCATTCCATACAGTCAGTTCTAAGCGCTGTAAAGTCACCTGCAGAATGGGTGAGCTTAACTAATCAATAGGCAAATACTTAGACACAATCAGGTTGTACTTGCAATTTATATGCATCCTTATTCTTCTATAGAAATACAGCATAAAAAATACATTCTCAACTCAGAGGCCAAGGATGCTTGTAATAATATTAAGTACATTGCAATGCCCAAAGCTAAAAGGTTCACTCAAGACCTATAATACTTCAGAAAATTTAAGCCACATTCTTTCAGAATCTTGCCACACTGCTACTTGATTCAGTTCCCTGAAAGAGCTGGGAATAGCAGTCTACGTCTGAAAGAGCAGAAGTTTTCTGTATGTTGTTAATCCTCTGCTCACAGAACTAGTTACAGTATTCTAGTACCTGAGAGTTTGTTGGGTTGGATTCCTCTATTATATACTGCTTTCTGATGGAGTAGAACATGGCTAGTTCTTTACTCAGGCTTTCAAAACACTCCTTTTCTTCATCCCAGTTTACCTGTTACAATAAAAAAAAAAAGTAATTTTATAGAATCTGGGTAGCAGTCAGAGACTTAATATGGAAAATTAGATAGAGATTCTTAATATGGAAAGTTTGTATTAATGTGTTAGCTATTTATCTCCTAGTAAGGTAAAGGTATAGAATGAAAAAAGAGGCTAGGAATGCAGGCTTTTAAATCAAAATAGAGGCTGAGTCAGTCAGTAGTTATGAATACAAAGGCAAAGCATAACTAATCAGTAACCACAGAACAGCATCTGGAACATGTAACAATACATTTAAGCTGCACCAGAAACTGAAAAGGCAGGCTGGAATTGCCTAAAGTAAAAAAAGTAATTGTGCATTAATAAAATCCTTGAGAGAATGTACCTCTGTGGCCAAGCGCAGGATAAATATAGGCAGTCCTTCCAGTGGTGGGACATAGTTGTCTATCAGAAGTGGCAACCCAGTAAGATTTCCTTCCTGCAAGGCAATACTGCTGGGTCAGTTAAAAAAAAAAGAAAAAAGTTC